AAAAGAAGCGATTTAATTGAATCACAATACTAATTTCAAGTTGACCCTTATGCAAGCTAAAACAAAGTTGTAAGGTGTTTTTATTTGGTGTTTTTTTGTTTTGTTTTGTTTTGTTTTGTCAATGATCTTTTCTATCTTGCCATCTTCCAGGGGTGGAGAAGGAAGCACTTTCCTGCCAAGTGCACAGAGATCATTCTTCCTGGTTCTTCCTGATTGTGAGGCTTATAAATAGGACTACATTTGTAAGGAATATATTATACATATTTGACAGTGATCAACTCCTATGCAAAACATTGGCTTAGAGGTGAAGAAATTGGAGAAGGGCTGGAGAAAAATAATGACCATGACTAAAGATTTGGAAAAGTAAGGTCCAGGACAAAATTTATACTGGTACAGAAAATATGACAACTATTGGATATCTTCTTAATTTTCTAGGTTTTTTTTTTCAGCTTTGAGAAAGTTCAAGTATATCAGGAAATGTATATAATCAAAGGATTCTCAAACGTTAAAAGCACAGGCTGGATGATGGTGCAGTGGTAATATGCAACATTTTATAAGGTTGACAAACATGGGAAGGTTCTGGGTTCATGCCCAGAGTACTTCAGGCAGGAGAGTACCTATCATCAGGGGCTGGCTGAGGCAGGGAAGGATTACAGCATCAAGATCCTATCAGGGGGACCTTTTTCTTTCACTTATGGAAGAAATAAATTAATTAAAAAATAAGTTTACAAGTATATACAAGTCCATGGGGATTTTTAAAAAGAGATTCTTGCTATAGGGCATGTATGCTTGCAGGAGAGAGACAGAAAGAAACTGAGAAATCACCCCCAGGGGGTTTGGCCATGCCACAATCCCTTATCCTCCACTCTCGTCTCGCAATTTTGGGCACGCACACACATGTGCCCATGTTGAATTTTAAACTGTCAGGCCCAGGACCTGAATTGTGGTCAACTATGTGGAGTCCAGTGATGCAATCATTACAACACTTGCTGGTCCCACAGGGGGGCTTTGAATCAAATTCTAAATGATAGAAGGATCCTTTTAAATAGAGACACTTCCTTCCCACCTTTTTCCATAATTCATTTATTCTTCATATAACTGTCATTTATTGAATATCTACTATGGAACAAATCAATGTTCTAGGCACAGAGATATCTCTGTTCTCCTAGAGCTTATATTTAGTAGGGAAGAGAGACAGAAAACAATTATACAACAAACCAGTCAATCACGTGGGAGTCCAGTGCCATGATCCACTGTGGTTTGAATACTGGACGAGGGGCTTGAAAATCACTACAGTGCATGTGACCGTGTGATCTAAATTCCAATAAGAATGGAGAATGAAGGAGAAGTGTTTGCAGTGTGGCCTTCCCTCGAGGAAGTGATTTCTCATTTTCCCTCTTTACCTCTCTCTGGCCAGCAGACATGCCCTATGGCAAAAATCAATTTTATAAAATAACACATTGCAAAGGATTTAGGCTGTTACAAGGTGATATAAAAAAAAAAACATTAGGCTAAGTGGATGAGAAACGGGAAGGCTGAAATTTAAAAGTCGTTGTCAGGATAGGTATTTTTGCGCAAATGAGGGTGGGGAAATACAATAGATCCAGCTCATCTGAAAGGGATGAAAGAAGAGCAGCTGAGCATATTTGTGATACACAGTTCACAAGGCTATGCCACTCAGACAGGGCACTGGAAGAACTGGTGCAGGACTATAAAAAAGGATTAATTCCGTTTTAGCCATATTACGTTTGAAGTGCCACAAGACCACCTTCTGCAGTGCCAGTTCCCAGAGGCCTAAAGCACAGGAAAGGACTACAAAAAACAAAGGACGCAGCTCCAAAGAACACTCAAACAAACTAACCAACAAGACACAAGAGCCTGGGGTCAGAACCC